CATCTCTAGTATCTCTTTGGGATTTCCAGGGCGAAAAAATCCTCCCGACGATTTCCAAGACGAAAAAACCACAGACCCATTAAGCAAAAAAGTCCGTCAGTAGCAAAAACTCATCCCACTCCACGACTTTTGTGATTAATTAACTTCGGTTGATGTTAAACGGTCTCAAGAAGACCGAGTCCAGATTTCAGAACAGGACTTCCATCAACAAATTCATAATTTAAAAACTGAAATTATTTCTAAAATAAACGGTTTTTGAAAGAAAAATGTATTGTGAAAATATTCCTGTACATGAACCCAAACGAAATAATGTTGGGTCAATCATGTCCCAGTCGTCCTATACTTCATGCATGCTTCAATAGTCGCTTGAATTCCGACGCTATTACTCCACTATTGTTTGCAGTTTTTTAGTAATCGAAAAGACTCGTAGGTTTCATAGAGTTTGTTCATGAGTTTGATACACGACCCAGCAAACACTCGTGGTCTATTCAAGCCCCTATCACTGCACCACCCGAATATGGTGGATATTAATCATATTATTAAATGATTATATATTATCATATTTTTACCTAATTTTTTATAATATTTAAAGCAATTTAATTATGAAACATTGTGAAGCGAAGCTTGAATTAACGTATAAGTTGAATATAATATATTCTTTGATTTATTAATAATTCACATGATATATGAAGGATCGTAACTTCCAATTGCGGAGCGCGTTTGAATGTGAGGTTCTCCGCATAAGAGGGCAGGAGGCGTGTTTATACACGCAACGTTCTTTAATTATTGAATTAATTTAACGATGAAAGTATCATTTGATAAGGGTAATCTCAAAACTCAAAGATTTACTATTAGGAGATATACCGTAGATAATTGCCAGTGGGAAATAAACTCATAAGACGATTTATTAAACTAGAGGATACCGGGCATTTATAGGCCCGGTATTGCCTCTGAATTTATGTTGCTTATGAGCACCTGTTTCCATTGATTCAAACATCAAAAACTCTGCGTCAATCTAACGCTGCCGAATACATTTTCCCTGATGATTGTAGGATATTTACAACCTATTCGAAAACCGAGGAAACAAACACGGTCTTTACAGAGATTCATAGAACCATCGGTCATCGGAATGTTTCGAATAGAGTTATATTAGCGCACTAGGCAAAAATAATCATTCAAATACAGATATGGGCATGCATATTTCTTTCCTCTATGTTATCAATCCCTATAATAGCGAGCGTATAGCCCGAGGTCGCACTCGACACGCAAATTAATTGCTCATAAAAAAATATGTAGCCATCACATCTACCGGCATGGGTCTTCCCAGCTCTTGCTCCGGCTGGGTTTGTCCAGCGAGTTTTTCTACAAGACGAGGTGCAAATTACGGCCACCGAAAACGATCCTCCGTATAAAACCCTTTTCAAACATTCCATAAAAAGTATTGTTAAAATGATAGCTTTGTCATCTTACTGTGATCATTTTTTACTCAAATTTAATCTTGACTCAAAAACATGGAAGATGATGTATTTAAATTTTATGTTTCCCAACGTGTCGGCCGAAGTTCGATTATTTCGGTAATGATCGGAATCAGTATTACGACAGAAGAGCTAAATTATTTTTCATTGCCAAATTGTCTACAAGGCGTACTTTTGTAGCAAGTTAAGTTTTTAAATTACAAGCCGCAGCGCTGTTGCCGCGTTGTAAGCATGAGTTGGAGTTAGAAGCGTTATACGCATCAATTTTTGGAAGCTGCGGACGCCATGAGGAACCATCTACTTAGGTGATTTAAAAATGCCTCCACCATATAGAGAATTCCGTGAAATGCGAAGTGCTTGCGTTTCAATGTGTTTCAATATTCAAATCAGTTTACATTCACCGCAAGATCAGTATGTATGGTGATAACATTAAAATGGGTTAGGGCCATTATAGATGGCCGCACATACATTCATGATGAGAAATAAATGTTATTTGGGCGGAACGGAGGAAATATCTACTCTGTGTTCCTATCTAAATCCTGTACATAATTATAAATTGTTTTATATTTTAAAGAAATTCATTTTCAAAGTTATAGGCGCCCTTGAATCAACGAAGCAAACACCCAGAGCACTTGTGTATATCTTACGCTGTGCCGTTTTTAGTTTTATTTCTTAAGGCAAGGGTATATCGATGCTGATTTTGACTTACATGTTATTTTGACTTACATACAAGCATACAGGTATTGGCAGCAGAAAATTGAATCTAGGCAACCATGATGGGTCAATTTCATTCTAAGTTTACGAAATATGGTGTGACAACCATAAAAAAATGTGAAAAGCCATACAAATATTCGATTATTGCAGTTACTGGGCAGAAGTTGTTATATAATGAAGGTTTTGTTGAAGACCAGCGAGTGATTTTTATTAACCCTATGGCTGGTGAAAACTGAAACTCGTTTATTTGAAGTACTCTTTAGTCTTAAAATAATGATATAATTATTTTGGATAAAGAATAATTCACCTAAATTACTGATTGACACAATTCTGTATAATTTAATATTCATGCGCAAATAAAGTTGTCTTGGTTAGACATCATGAACGTCTCCGAAATTCTATCGATTTATCATCTACAAACGGCAGCGGGAGGAAAGACCTCTTATTTTTATTGTCCGTAACTCATAAAAGTTACGATTGATTTTATAGTAAAATTGATATTCATATATTCAGTTACATATTCCACATTTTTTTTAGGTTTGGTCAATCGAAGCAAGCAACAATCAAAATAATTTTTAATGAATATCTTTTTCCCAGAGTGTATTGGCGCTGCGTCCTGCATCAATGAAAAAAATATAACTCATTATTCACTGCAGTGAGTGACAGAGAGCGCATTTTCTCGTCGATGATAACGTGGATTCACGGACGGACAGACAGACGTGCAGACGGACGGACGGACAGACGGACATGGCGAGCGCAATAGTGCATTTTTTCTATAAATGAGAAAATGTGCTAAAAATTAATTCGCCAAATATTATCACAATAGGTACACAATTCCTAACAATATTAAACATTTATTTTAGTAAATTTTTGTGACGTGGTAACCGAATTAGAGGCCCTATACGCCGGGAGCGCTGAACAACTCAGAATATTCACACCTTGTAGCGATCAAACTCTCAAGCCGAGGATATATTTTCCATGCCTCCACCACCATTGAACAGCATGCAGGTCTGCCCTCTCTTTGTTACTCATTGAACACGATTGTATCAATTAATATCACTCTTCGTATATAGAAGTTACGTCAAGATCTTGTCAACTTCTGGCAAATTTTCTTATAGGCGATCTCATATATACTTTGATTCAATGGAACCATGAACTGCCAAGCCAAAAGAAACTCAAATTAATTTTGCGAACATTACATCACTCCTGCACGGTCCCACTCAGCTGTGTGAATTTCATAAATTTATAAGTTGACACAACAAAGCCACCTGCGATTACTTCTACGATTCATTCTACTTGCACAAATTTCTATTCACAGTAAATTACTTCAGAGTGAGGTTAAAATATTAAATGAAACATTATCAACAAAATTAGGTTTGAGTTGCTTTGTCTTGAACATTGAAGAGCTCGTCGTTGATGCCCATTGAAGGAATAACTTGCGAGTAACTTTTGCGCGTTGTTACGGCAGCGCAGCGCCTGCCCTCGATCGCCCGCGGAATTTGCGAGTCTCAGTGCTAATAACCCAACTGATAAGTAATAAATATCTCACATGCTGATTTAAATGAACAGCAGGATGAGTTCCGCTCCATATCTTCAGTTAATCATTCGTAATAAAATAATAAATAAGACTGAAAACAACGAATTGCCCTGACCGTACCATCGAAATCTTAAATATTGTTTAAAAACGGTGAATAAATCGATGTTATGAAAAAAAACAATGGCTATACATTTTAATTTACCGCAGTATTCTGAAATTCAGTTATTAATTAGTTCTCAGTTATATTCAGTATATTTTGTCGTCATACTGACTAGACTGAGCGTCCTGATAGGTAACTGAGATATAGTCTCAGTTAGCTGGCTTACGGAGGTGAGAAGCTTGCACCAGGACTGGCATGCTTCAGCGAGCTGAGATCGGGAGGTTATAACACAATAATTGAAGATGATGCTACAGTCTACAGATCTCGTTAGCACTCGTGAAATGATTTCAAAGATTCATTTTCATTGTCATCTAACTTTTAATTCTATTGAATTGCATCGATGCATCGTTGAAATAATATACAGCTAGATAATATTAATATAGACCAACCCAGGTCTTCTGTCATAATAAAGCACCGTTCGTTGAAGCGAGAGAAAAAAAAATTAACAAGCCATTCCTAACCACAACTGCTACACATGCGCAATTGTACGCATGCTTCCTATACGACCTTCAAAAATTTTAACCAATTTCCTGTACAATAACAGTGACTTGTTCCAGATACAAATGAAGATCATTCGAAACGTTCGACAAAAGCTTCTCGACGAAGGATTCTTTCAGAATTCGCCATTTAAGCAGAATAATCCACTAAAAATACGGTAAAAATGAAGAAGAATATCTAATTTTCTGGCAATGTGAACTATATGCTGTAAACACTAAACAAGCATACCCGAGCGAGCAACAAATTATCAACTTTGTGGGTCATGGAAGCACATGCAACCATTTAAATGTTAGAGCTAATTGCATTTGTTGTAAAATATTTCTCCATCGTTTTTTTTTCGGAACAAATAAAAATTAATGCACGATACAGTATACTCGGCTTATTAGCTTCAAGATTGAAAATCGTAAATGATACTCAATGTATTCAACTCCGTAACTATCGAAAGTTGCGCAATTATTTTTGTATAATCTGTTACCCAGTCGGGAAAATAAGTAAAAAAATCCGGTTAGTTCCTCTACAGTCTGTTATATTGATGGGGTTCTCCGGCTTCAGAAAGTCCAAGTCCAGGTTTTAGTAACCCGTAAACGGATCTATAGTCTCAGTTGACATCCAACATCAGTGGCTTGCTGACGGTTGGAGAGTGTGGTGGTAGTGTCTGTTAGCGCGCTTCTTTACCGCCTGCTAGGTACCGTTCACTTCTTGTGTTTCAACATGAAGGCGGAAGATATTATCAACCGAATTGTAAGTATTACTAAAAATATATAATAACGATTTTATATTTTTGTCAAATCTGGTAATCATATCAATGATAACGTTTTGGTCGGTGAAGAATTGACCGGACGGCGAACGTCACGACTCACGTGACAACGTGTCTACTGCATGAGTTGTAGACTTGTACTACCGTAGTCCTGTTCCTGTAGGCTGTAGACATACAGATCCGAACAAATTATTGCAAGAATAATTAGCAGCTGTTATTTTTTATGGTTAGTTCACAACTAATGATAACCAAATTCCTGTAATCATTCATGCCTATTTCATGGCTTATTGAAACAGATATTTCTTGAATTATACCAAGGTCAATTGCTGCTCTCATTTAAACAACAATAAACATCATTTATACTAGCATGAAAATATTTGAAGGTAATGTATGTGAATCCATTTTCTAAGCCACAAATCAATTTTCTCATGTGTAACTGTGAGTCAGTGAGTGTGAGATGGTTTACAAAGCAGTTTATATTCCTTCAACACTTCTTGTTTTCCCTACCTACAATATACAATACAAATTGTATATTGATCTTGAATCTGCTTTGACATTTATTTTCACACCAGGTTCATAAATTATCATTCATTACTGTACTAATCTCTTCATTCTCTTGTTAATGAAACTGGAGACATTTATCTGTGACATTTGTGCCAAAGAATTTTCCCTAATTTTCCATAGTCAAGATGCAAATTGCAGTTAATGAATATAAAAATTCTGGTTGTTATCCCTAGTGAGGCTAGTACCTACTGTAGTACATTTGAAATTATGTAGAGTTGAACACGCAACTGAAAGAGGATACTACGTATCTTACTTCAATTTGATTCTATATAATTAAGAATAAGATATTGACATTTATTGAAGAGACATTGTTTCTTTTATGATTTAAGAAAAGAGAAGAAATGGGCATTTAAATTTCTTAGCACCCAAATGTTTTTAAGGCCTGTTATGTAAAAATGCAGTTCTCTTATGGTTCAGTATCAATGTCAGATATGTAACAATTAGATTTATTTGATGAACTGGAAATATATGAATACATTTGAAACAATTTGTTGCTCATCATTGTTAAGATCATAGTTTTTTCTGATTGGAATATAAGTAGGTAAGATCTAACCAATCATAATTTTTAACCAGGCTCAAAGAATGCATGTCTGGTATACAGTTTAAGAATAATTCTCATACCTTAGACAGCATTTCCTGTGCCATCATATACCATATTTAATTTGAATTTTTGATTGATTTCATAATAGTTTTAGGTTATGTTAGAGAATTCATACCTTTAAGGCTCTAGGTTGCACCCCTAATCCCAGTTTTTTGTTTAATGTCATATACCTATGGTATAAACTAAGAATTTTTATGAGGTTATATTCTGCAATGTTTTGATTTAATTTTCATTTGTTTCAGAATTTAATTGAAAAGAAAGCCCCACTCAATGGCTGCCTCCTGCCTCACAACAAAACTAAATTCACTCCATCAGGCCCCAAACATAACTCCACCTCAAACTCCTTCATTTCCAGTGTTAAGCCTGATTGCTCCAAGTTGAAAGGTAAATACTTTTTGTATGTTAAGTGTTAAACCAGTCTGCTCCAAGTTGACAGGTAACAACTTAACTCTTTAAGTAAGTGATATCATAAATGATGATACTAACTCTAGCTAGTGTGTTGAAGTTAAATAATTAGACTTTGGTGCCTCCAATGACAAAATAATAATCATATAGTATTGCATTTTACATCACTTATAATGCAATATTTTTGCTATGCACTAGATTAAGTTTCATGCAAATTTTCATTGATGGACAATTTAATAATTTTGCAAGTATTTTGAAAGTTCCTAGCTGGCAATGGGGCCAATCATTTGATCATTCACATGAGACCTTTATTGCACAAGTTTAAATTTGCTTGTTGAAAGAGTCTGCAGTGTTTGGCCCTGGTCTTTAGTGGAGTTTTGTGATGAAATTTCATAATAGTTCAATAATGATGCCTCTAATTCTTCAGGCAATTTGTAAAAATTTGCAAATTTATAAGCGCATTTTTGTGCCTTTTTATTTGAATGGAAACAGTATAAATATTATTTGTATAATCAAAGTTGTGATGGTGCGATTCATTCTGCCTAATGAACCGATGGCGCCATTCTTTGTGCCAGTAAAAGGTATAAAATACTAGGTACTGATGTTCAAGTTCATAAAAGATTAACAGAAGGTCAAGCAGGTTTTAGCTCCATGTTAAATTTGTCTCATCGTTCCTGTTTATAGGTACTACTTTTACTTGAAAGATTCTTGCTATATTTTGTTACTACAGCCCTATACTTGGCCTAATTTTTAATGGAGGTCTTTATTGTACGTTATTGCTGTATATACATTTTGCCATGATTATTCTAGACAACATTCAATGGTAGATTAGTGGTGTTCACTAATCAAGCACCATATTCATTGTGCATTGTGCCAGCCTGTCAAAATAATGCGTCGCTGCCAGCAGTTGTAGTATTGGACGCAACCAGCGCGTCACGAGGCCCCGGCATGCGGCACACGTGCCTGAAACCTGAACGCCACCGACCAAAGGCCCTTGCACTGCAGTCGGTCCTTCAGCGTAGAGTTTTTTGCGCTCGAGTTTAGGAATCCCGAGCTCTGGGCGCTGGGATTTCCAAAGATTTAAGCGCGCACAGCAGTCACAGCTGCGACTAAGCCGCTTTTAGGCTCCGTTCAAGAGAAGATGATGCTCGAAACTTAGCTTTGCTAACATACGCGAATGCTGCAAAGTAGCGGCATTTTGGATTGATGCAACACTTATTCCCGTGCTCCATGCCGCTTCTTGAGCTGCAGTCTATTTCGGCGAGAAAACTCGCTTGCCCAGCTTCTAAGTAAGCTCGCTTATCCTGATTTGTACTTGCCAAGTTTTTCATGATTACGCAATGAATACTTTTTACATAAAAACGCGTGTATGATGTTATTTGCCCCGTCTGAGAGCAGTCTGAAGGTTTCGGTTGGTATTAGAGACAAAAGCTTGGTTATTTTCAACGTGCTTACAATAATACAATTCCTCGCAGCTATTTAGTTAAGAAAAACTTTTCATTAGTACATTGTATGAGGCATTCGTGTTAACTGAAAATGACAGATAAAAACATTGTATGAAATTTATTGAAAGCTTAGATCGCTATTTTAGTGTAAGGTGTTTTCATTACTGCACGTATGATTCAGTATTTACTATCATGGAACCATTGACAGGAGTGCACCGTTGCTTTTTATTCACTTATGGGTCTACACTGATGGCCCGTTAATCTGAAAGAAGTACCAGCGGGCTGCCAGCGTATGTTACATAAGGGAATAAAATGGGTTACCTTCAGAACATTTTACAGTTTCGACCGTCGTACGGGGAAATTACTTGAAATACTTGCTGCCGATAATGACGGGTGAAAATTACAGTTATTTTTTCGACAGTCAAGGTTACTGTCGAAGCACGTACACGTGTGATCCTCTTGTTAAAACTGGCAGTGGCGGCGAGTTTGACGTCTCGTAGCTCTGCTACTTTAGGGTAATGCATAGTACTAACGTTCTTTTATGCGCGTTCGTTAATAACAGAAGTGACATCACCACTTGAATGATCAAACTGCTCTGTTTATTATATTGAATACCCCATGTTTCATATCTGTCTAAACTCGTACATGTAGAATTATTTTCTTCGTGGGCTACTGAGTAAATTCTATGGTAGGCTCATGTCCTAGGTTTTCGTCTTACGATGACGCCAAGGATGAAGTTGCTAATACTTGAATAATTGTCGGGCAGCGTCAATCGGCTGCAAGTCGAGTGTTGTGAGAGCTCAGAGCTAAACTCTGCGGTCTTAGGTCTTTGATTTTCATTATAACCCTCGTGAGCTACGCCCAGTTTTGCTTATGTTATCATATATGCGTACACTAGACTTAGAATTGCGTTTTACTGTACTTCCGAAGAAATCTTCGGAATCGACGATAAAGTTCACTCAAATTTTAAACTTTATTTTAGGTTTCATGCCTGTAACCTACTGATTTCCCAAACAAACAAAATTCTGATCACAATTTTCTACAATAACTTAATAACACTACCAAAACTTTACGTCTGTTTTTTGTGTGATGGGTTTGACGTCGTACCCGCTTCGTGCTCTGACCATTTAATGGTCCATGTATCATTGGATGACCTATGCATCTTCGCGCTGATGGTTGTCTCTAGCTTTCCGAGTTTTTTCATCGTAATTTAATGCAGCTATTGAGGTGCTCTGACGTCTGTAGCGTCCTGCACTATTTGTATGAGCGTAAAAACCATGCAGATTCTCGACGACATTTTGGTGCACACATCACGTCATCGTTCATAATCATTGATCACTTGTTTGAATGATATTTTATCAGCTTAATTAGGATATCTTCCTCCATCAGAATTTGGAGCAGTTCCTTCTTGAAATATGTTTATATTTAACTCAAAACTAAGCACGTATCCAATTATAAATATCCTTGAAGCTTTTTTCTCTTATAAGTTTATGAGTTCTTTGGATCTTGTTTTGAGCACTTTTATGCATTTATCATGGCACGCTGGTTTTTGCAGCCTTTTTTCGAACCCATATTCAGAGGCTGGTGTTGGCTTCAGGCCTTAAAGGATGCGCAAAAACGGTCGAAGGGATTTCCAAGCCTCGCTCTTACTTGAATATTTTCGGACGTGAAGCCATTGTTCGAGACAAGTTCTTGGCTCATGACTGTTAATATGGAAGTACCTGCGCTTCAAATCAAGGAGATTTATTTAAAAATCGTTTGCAGACGGAAAGAGAAATAGAGGAGTTTCAATTTTTGATGCTTTATTGATGAACTTTTGTATATCAATTAACGAATGTATCGTATACTGTCACCACGGTAAGAGGGAACTATACCTAACTGTAATATAGTGCAGTAATATCCAGCTGGTAACTCATTCTATTGTAGTACAATAATCACCTACATTCGTCGGTAGCTTGGTCCAAATCCAAATAGCTACAAAATATGTGACAAAGTCCGTGATGTGAAAAATAGGAAAGATGCATGGTCATGGATGTCAACTCGAGCGCTCACACTTATTGCTGCATGTACAAGAGGCGATGCTGTGCACGATACGATCTATGTATGATTCAGTATCTGTTTGGGCTCAAAGTGTGCGCATTGAATTCACGAATTCTTTTCGCTGCGATAGTGACCATGCATATCTGCTTATCTGTTGGATCCTCGTTTTTAACCTGCCTTCAGTTCGTTGAGTTTTCGTTTTACCCGTCCTTAGTCAATTTTCTACGATGTCGATAACTATTTTGACTCGTACACGCATCTTTATTCTTTCACTGCTTAATTTCAGGCTTGATTGACCTTGTTTTCCATGTAGGAAATTTTCATTCTGAATATCGTAATAGTAGAGGTGCTAATAACAGATGTGCTACCACATTTTGAATACCGTGATAGTAAAGGTGCTATAACAGATGTGCTGCCACATTTTGAATACCGTGATAGTAGAGGTGCTAATAACAGATGTGCTACCACATTTTGAATACCGTGATAGTAGAGGTGCTAATAACAGATGTGCTACCACATTTTGAATACCGTGATAGTAGAGGTGCTAATAACAGATGTGCTGCCACACTTTGAATACCGTGATAGTAGAGGTGCTAATAACAGATGTGCTACCACACTTTGAATACCGCGATAGTAGAGGTGCTAATAATAGAGGTGCTGCCATCATGATGAGAAGACGAGGAAACTCGAATGCCTCAGCAGGCATCTCTAAGTTTACTAATGCTCGATCAGTGCATTTCAAAGCTTGGCGCCTTCACTAAGTCATGACAATTGTTCCCAGTTGCTTGCTGCAGGTAGGAGAACTGTCATCATGCATATCTAGTGAGTATGATATATTAATTCGAAGTTGATGAGGAATGACCTCTCGATCGGAGGCCGGGCCTTCGTTAATCGTTCAAAAATTTCTCACTGATTTCATACTTTATTTGGAATGAATACAAGGTATCTGAACGATCAGTATCAAACTTTACAAAAAAAGTAATCAAAAGTCTACGGAAATTTAGTGAAATTTTTAGGCTTTTTGGATGGATCAATACTCTCTACATGCAATTGGTGATTTTGCTTTACACGACCATAGATCAAAAAGTAAACAATTCACAACAGTCCTCTACAAAATACTTTGAACATTTAATTTGTAGTAAAACTTCTCCGAGTTTCACTTGTGTTAAGTTGTACCGGGTTGCGTTGAAGATTTTGTCTTTCTAGCTAGTGAAAATGTCAGTATCAGAGGATGGGCTTACTTAAAACTTGACCGTGTGGTTGCGTGCTGTTTAATTTAGTGTCGACTATTGATGTCGGCTGACTGAATGTCCACTCGTTCTTTAAATACTGTGGTCAGTGCCCCGTTGTGCACTCGATTAAAGTGTGCAGTCGTTTATGCATCAATTTTCAATCTCTGTTCGATTTAGCCGCCAAAGCAGCAAATGAAGCGTCGTTAACTCGGTGAAAATCCCGTTGTTCGGCTGAGGAATTATCAAGTGTGGTCATGTGCGTTGGCTGAAGCGATTTCGATCTGCCGACGGTATTCGTCGCTAATTTCCAGTAACGTATGAACTTATTGAATATTTAATATTCCGCTACGTTTTTTTACCGTATTTATCATCTTAACATGCGACACATAAACGCACGGTTTTGTTCTGCATCGCGATTCCGCCATGAATGCTTCTTTCCATAGTAAACGTTTCATGACGAATTATATGAAATAATTTTGTCATTCCCTGCCGCAATCTTAGTATAGCTGCTGGCATCCTAAGGATCGAAAGTTAATTTAAGATAACTTTCTTTACTCATTCGTTTTAGTAATTTTAACGGTTACGTAATGTGAGGCTGTTCTTCAATACTGACAAAAGACTGGTTTTTCTATTTTTTTTTATTCATGTAATTTGAAATAATTTTGACGTTATGCGAACAGTTTTATGTGTGTGTTCTTGTGCAGGATAATTGCACATTTAAAGATGTGCATGTTTCTCGTGTGAGTGCAGCAAATGAAGGTGTTATAGGCTGTGCATGTTTCTCGTGTGAGTGCAGCAAATGAAGGTGTTATAGGCTGTGCATGTTTCTCGTGAAGTGAATGAAGTTTTATTATTATATTAATTCAAGGCACCTCGGTAACTATGAGCAGGACTAGAGGTGAGCAGCGTCCCCTACGTAGACAAGCATGCAGAGGAGCTGCGTGGCGAGGACATACCGCTGCACGTGGCGTTCTTCACGTTCCTGTCGTACGGCGTGCTGCTGCTCGTCGGGTACATCAAAGAGTTCTTCAGTCCACCCTCCAGCAAGGAGCGCCACAGGGAGGTCAGTTCATTCTCTTCTTTATTATCTCCTAGTGAAGAAGTGCAGACCAAAGTTCGCTGCTAACCAGATTACGTTAAGTTGGTTTAACTTCCGGTCTGTTACGATGTATTCCATGTGTATGTCCGTGTTATTGTCTTAGTTTTAGATAAGATAACGATTCCTGGCAAGCACGCCTGACACAATAGAAATGTGTACAGAAGAATGGAGATCTTACTTGGCCAGAGTTTTGTTCATGTATCCTACGTAGAATGGTTATAGTCGATTTATTTATGCGTTACATTTCGCGTTGCAATGAACGTCGGCCTATCTCTATACGCGAAAAGTATCATTTGTATATCTAAAGAGGTTAAATCTTATTATTTTTCAGTATTACTGCATTGGTTCATTGAAATGAAAGAGAAAGCATTCATAGCTTGCCGTGACATCATTCCATATCTTACTGCTATACTGTTCCTATCCCTCATATATAATAGAAGCTTGATTGTTAGCCTCATGCAGCATCGCGCTCGCTCGTCCTTGTGTCACTTGTGATGGACAAATCTAGCACAGAGCTTTGTGTCTCACAATGCGCATTATATAGCTTCCCTCTCTCTTGTGTTTCTGTTCATCTTATGTGTTTTTGGCGAAATGTTAAGCAAAGATTGTAATGTTTTCAATTGGGGTTTTGGTGCATCTTTATGAATACGACATACATGCACAATTTAACGAAATTTCATGCGCATACGTCTTCTTTTTGGAACTTGATATTAAGGAACAGACGGAATGCCTGCAATGTTCTTGTATTATTTCTCGTTCAGGGATCACCTCAAACACTTTATTACCTCATCTCATTGATAATTAGTGATGTTCGGTCACGGCTTACCCTCCACTTGTTATTACCTCGTCTCAATTGTAATAAACAAAGCTCGGTCTCCGCCCCCAAGCAACAAGGCGCGTACGTGAACGCAAGTCGCGGGCTTCCCTTGCTCGCGAATTATTTTCCTGTCGCGGTTTGTAGTTTCCAGTGCGGTGAAAAATTCCTTGTTTAGATTTTCCTTCTTTGTAGATATTTCTCTTGTGCGTGATTGATTTTTAACACAAGAAACGACGATTTGAATAAGTAAATACATGTTATACGGGTCAATTGCTCTTAAATATTATATCCAAAGCCGCCTCACATAGATAAACGAATTCAATAGCGAGACTTTTCAACATTTTTATTTCTTAGGTATTGAGCTAGTATACATCGCAGTAAATTTTTGCTAAATTTTCATAACATCAGCATTGAACTGTTGATATTGACTTGTATGTTTTGATCGCTTTAACTTTTTCGTTTTATTGGCCAAGTGTGTGCGTTCTATTTATATTCAGTGCAATTATTGTGCTCGCAATAAGCGTGTGAAGGCCGCAAAAACTATAAACCTGACTGCTACGTGAGATCTAGGCTGTTATATGATATAATTTTGTCTTGATTTCGACCGGCCCTCAGTTTTCCTTATACACCGGAAAATTTCTCTCAATGGGATGTTCCAGTTATTTTCCTGTTAGCATTTCAACCTTCATCGCTGCAAATTATTCAAGTTTAAAATTTATTATTTTTCTTCCGTCCAAATTTGTATTTTGCTTCTCCTGGCTCATCGTTGCCCAGATTAATAGTGAAAACTACTTCTGTAGTTGGAATTTTTTTTTACACTCTTGATGTTGACCTTCGTTGGTTTCGCTAGAAAACAGCTGCGTATACCTTAACTCGCGTCGGGCTGCTTAGGTACAAGTGTACTACAATAATCTTGTAAAATTAGGCTTGCTGAAAGGGTTAATTATTATAATAATCACTCCCGCTGAGCCCAATTAATAGCTTCTTGTTATTGATCTGCATTGTAGTACTTATTACCTGCTAACAAGACTTGCGCTGAGTAATCAATCACCTGCTAGTAAGACTTGCGCTGAGTAATTACCTGCTAATAAGACTTGTGCTGGGTAATCACCTGCTAGTAAGACTTGTGCTGGGTATAATCAGCAGTGCAGGGCCGTTGCAGCTAAAGCTTTAGCGATGCGTATAGCAGTGTAGGCCCGTTGCAGTAAAGCTCTATCGATGCGTATAGCAGTGCATGGCACATTTCAATGGCATTATGCAGTAAAGCTTCATCGGTAGATTTTGCCAGGTGAGAAGAAGTAACCGTCCCGTCCGTGTTTACATGCACTGAGCGCTGTTGACGCGCCAGCTCACGCGTCTGATCGATGTGTGTGGCACTGTCGCGGTCGGTGCTCCGCATGCCACCGTTCAAATGCCAGCGGTGCCATGGTGATGAACTTCACTTTAATAAGCGTTATCGTACCATGATTGATAGTTTGGTATTTTGATGCGTGCTGCTATTCATCGCTGTAGTTTTGTTGTATAACCTTTCAATTTTTTTGCTTACCTATAACAGGTTCATGGTCTCTCCAATGCAGTCGCCAATGTTTCTTATTTATGTTCGTTGTGTCATCGCTCCTAACTTATTCTTCGGTTGCAATGCAACTTTGAAATTTCAAAATGCAACGCATGATTGAAATTTCAAAATGCAACGCATGATTGAAATTTCAAAATGCAACTTGGAAAATATTTCAACCGATTCGGTTGCTGAGCAGGCATAAGGTTGTTGCTAGCTTCTTTTGTATAAACTTGAAAAATAACTTATAAATTGTAAAATACGCATCAATAGGATACTGAACTTTTGTTTTCATGTCACTGAATACATGCAATAACCGGCGGCTCTGCCGAAATTTGAAACACGTAGCGTAAGTTTTGCTGGAGAAACCTGCCGACGCGGCCATGTTTACATCTGCTTGGTGATGTCTGCGTGTGCTCATGGATACCTAAACCGTTTACACGATGCGCCGACATTTCTTTATAACGTCTAAAAGTGCCGACTCAACCATTGATTTATTCTAATACTCGAGGACAGGTGAAAATGATCTCTGCGAGAAAAATCATTATCCACAATCGCTGCCCTGCAGTAGATGGGACGTTTGAGTCAGAAATCAATTCTTTCGTCATGATCTCAGTATGTCAAAGTTTCAGCTGTCATTAGCCGGAGCTCTTTTTTTTGCACCGGTCACTATAACATCTAACTAACTGGTCGTAGCCTAAATATCCACGAGGCTTGGAATGCAAGCGTGAGGAGGTCGAGCCTACATACCTGCTGGTGGCCTTCTGGGACATCGATCGCTGCTCGGCTCTTGCAGGCAGCAGGTCGTGCCGTGCTGTCTCCCCTACACAGCGTTCCTCACCTCATGTGGCGCACTAAACGCGTCTTCAGCTTAGTTCCTATGACAATTAAGATATTGACAAATTATTGACATTGCATATATTTCGTTCAGAGACTTGAGTCACGGAAGAAAGTCTTCGAATCTAGCCCACGAATGCGTTTTTTTAACATAAGTGGCCTGTGCTTTTCGCTTGAAGTTCTAGACAAAATTTGGTTAATTTTTACCGATGAACATGAAAGATCTGTAAGTGGAGCGCATTCCTTTACTTCCTCTTTAGCCTGAGTTAGGTTAACATAGCATGGTTAATTGTTCACCAATCATCATAGATCCCTGACCTGGCTACCGTTTATATGCTCGCAGTGTTGCGTAACTTTCTCGTGTGATGATATTTTAGCTCCAAGAATCTGTCTTCAATATGTACTAGCCTGCACGTATTGTCGTCTGCACGTCACTCCAGAGCGGCGCTGACATCGTCTCTTACTTTTTTGTGTGGGCGAGGTCAGTCTCATTATAGCTAACAGCGATGCCTGGTCTCTACAATATATATATAGTGAACTGTTGCTTCTCATCTTCTTTATTATATGTGAATGCTTTCATGTTCGCTTGTACCATCGATGCAAGATCATGCGGTCACGAGCTCATCATCTCATTCACTGTTTTTCGTTAGAAATTTTCGATGATTTTGCCCTGAAGGATTTAGTTGTGTTTTGTCTTAAAAATTCCAGTGTCAGGTCATTCACGGTCTCGATAGTTCTGCAAACGTCGAATTATTTATTAAACGGCTTTGAATGAGGGAAACGGTCGTTAACCATTAGCACGGTGTAATGGTTCTTAACTATAGCACGCAATTTGTGATCGATCTATCTGCAAGGTTATTCTAAATGATGGACCCTATTTAATAAATTTTAATTTATTTAAGTTAAAATAAATAATTTATACACCAATGGAGAAAGAAAGATTCAATTTTTTTACATGTGTATAAATGTTCCAAACGCTCAGGAAGTGACCGATTTCGCGTTTGAATAAGTTAAAAAGTTCCAATTTTAGAACCAATTAAGCGTTAGATTAAGGTAAATAAAAAAGTGGAATTTTTCTCTTTCCGTTGGTGCAAAAATGATTCATTTTGAATGTATTCTTAAATAAATAAGAATATATAAAATTGAGTCCATCATCTAAAATACCCCTGTATTGTGTAGGTTTTTATTGCACAAATATGCTGTATATGATAATGCCTATCGCAATATTATTGATCTAGATATACCGTGAGGTGTTGCTCAATTGTTTGTTCAGCCTAATGAAGATAAGGCTTCATTTGCATGACTTGGCATTCTCAGGCACGTAGGGGGTGGATGTATGTCAGTTGTCTGTTTGGTGGTCGGTGGCTTTCGGTGGGCTGGGTCTGTCTCTGTTTTTTTTGGTTCTTTTTTTTTTTGGAAGTTTTCTATCTTTTGTAGTGCTTGGGTGGCTTACTTTTGTTCATTTTTCCTGTTCTTGTTTTTTTTTTTCTTTTTTTTAATTTCCACCAAGAATTATGAAACCCATTTCGGAGGTTACCTTTTTATTTCATCTTTTAGTGAAATTGGTTCTTAAATGTGACAGACATAAGACGAAGTGACGCGTGTGCACACGTGATAAGTACTACTAATACCGTCCCGCCTTGACCTTCGCTGCACGTTGCTCCTGACAGCTTCAATTGCTTCAATTGTAACGGCAAGTTGTGCGCGCTGCATCTTTGGCAGATATCCATTCCATTGCTCTCAAAAATATAGTTT